TAAGCAGTCGTGTTACAGTCACTGTTGGGAAAAAAAAACCCATTTATTTAACTAAAAGTGAAAAAAAAAATATTTCTGTGTAAATATCCCATGTTACAACGTCAACACCTGCGGCTTATAGAGAGGTGTGGCCTATATATGTACAAATATTTTTTTTTTCTTTTTAAATTTAATGGGTGCGACCTATATTCAGGTGCGTCCAATTGTTCTGAAATTACAGTATTAATTATATGTGATGGAGTAAGGGAAAGCGGAAGGTGAACTACTGCTACTCAGTGCTAACTTGGCAGCTGGTGGTCTCGAATCTGAAGACTTCCGGACCCCAGGTCCACTTCCTTAACCATTAATCCACCACTGCTCCTAGTTACATCTATACAATTTTTACAGTTACAACCGGCCCTTTCAAGGAAAACTGTACTGTTGATGTGGCCTCCCCAGTGAAAATGAGGTGGAAAAGGGACTTGAAAAAAAAACAAAAAAAAAACCAAAAAAAAAAACGGACTTGAAAAAGTACAATGATCTTTACTTTGCTTAAAGTAAGTACCTATCAAAAATTCTACTTAAAAAAGTAAAAATAAAAACAAGTACTTAATTTTAAATTTTCTTCTTTAATACCATCGGGATATTCTTTTATCATTTTAATGTTAAAACATTACAACATCCCATTGGCAAACTAAGACCCGGGGGCTCGTTCATCCTTTTTAATCTGGCCTGCCATCTTTCCCAAATGATATAATTTATTTATATTATCATTATACTTCTGCCTTTTTCCTTGAAATACCCACATTTCCCTCAATAGATGGAATAGAAAATGATTTTTTTTTTATCAGCATTTGAGACTTTTAACCTGATTCGGACCAAAATTCGACCTTTCACCCTTGTTGTTATCAAATGAAAGACGTTTCTATTTCCTGCGGCAGTTTTTGAATGCCCATCTGGTTCTCGGCCCTACGGTAGCCCGCACCGCCACGCAGACTTGGGACGTGACTAGAACGTCTCAGAACACGCGCCGGTGTCACTGGTCTTCAGTCCGGCGTTTAACCTGTGGTGCGTTCAGGGGCGCTGACACTGACAAAGTCCACCTCGGAGTCCAGATCTGCTTCGGTCCAGTGAAGCTCACAGAGAGAGAGGCTTCCAGGAAACGCACGGAACAACTTGTTGTTACAGTAACGGCGTCAACAAACAACGGGATAAACACTACAATTTAAAAATGTGGCGAGGCCGTAAAGGAAAGAGGTAAAAGGTGTGTGAGTTGCCAAATCCCCCCCCCCCTCCCACAGTTTCTTCTTCCACCTCATGCCTGACTTATGAAGCTGGAGTAGGAGGTCATGGAAGTTAATGGGTTTGTCAGGACTTGTCCAGACTCAGGAGTTGACTCAGTTTTTCCCCCTCTCGACAGATAACCTCTGTGAAGTCATCTGCAGCTGAGCCGAGGGGTCAGACACGGAAAAACACTTATTGTTCTACAGCAGTGGTCCCCAAAACCCACTTTTTTTAGAATGCATACATTTCTATGTTTTGTTTTGAAAAATTACGGGATTCTCTACGCCGTATTTGTCTATGGCTCACACTTGATGCATGTCAAGAGGCTTGCCTCCGTCACATGTCATACCTACGTCCGCTACCTTCGTCCGCTACCTTCTTAAAAGGTCTGCTCTGGCCGGCAACACATAACACAAATGAACGACAAACAAATGTCTTTGGAAAGTTTCATTGCGCGGGGTAAAAGGGTCGGCGAGAAGACAGAAGAAAAGACAAGCGCAATGTTACGAGGACGCTGCTAATACAGTTGCGTGCACAGTGGCTTAGTGTTTATTATTATATTTAGAAAAAATACCTAGTCAAGGTTACCTGGCTACATTTAAACAGTGGGAAATCTGTTATTAATGCAGATTGTTTTTTCCACCGCGTTTCATTTTTCAATCAGTAACGGGTCTTTTCCAATGTAGCAAAGTAAATGTACTTAACTAAAAGTCAAATGACCTGTTCCCAAAACTACCGAAAAATGACAAATGACTCACAAAACCTACTCAATTACAGCAATGGGAGTAAATGTAATTAATTATTCGCACTGGCCACAGACTGAAGACAGTGGGAACTTAAATTCTTCTTTTTCTCTACGGACTTTTGAACGGACCAAAAATCCGACCTTTCACCCTTGTTGTTATCAAATGAAAGACGTTTCTATTTCCTGCGGCAGTTTTTGAATGCCCATCTGGTTCTCGGCCCCACGGTAGCCCGCACCGCCACGCAGACTTGGGACGTGACTAGAACGTCTCAGAACACGCGCCGGTGTCACTGGTCTTCAGTCTGGCATTTAACCTGTGGTGCGTTCAGGGGCGCTGACACTAACAAAGTCCACCTCAGAGTCCAGATCTGCTTCGGTCCAGTGAAGCTCACAGAGAGAGAGGCTTCCAGGAAACGCACGGAACATCTTGTTGTTACAGTAACGGCGTCAACAAACAACGGGATAAACACTACAATTTAAAAAAAATGTGGCGAGGCCGTAAAGGAAAGAGGTAAAAGGTGTGTGAGTTGCCAAATCCCCCCCCCCCCCCCCGCACCTCCTTTCTCTCTCACATCTCCTTCCAAATGAACGACAAACAAATGTCTTTGGAAAGTTTCATTGCGCGGGGTAAAAGGGTCGGCGAGAAGACAGAAGAAAAGACAAGCGCAATGTTACGAGGACGCTGCTAATACAGTTGCGTGCACAGTGGCTTAGTGTTTATTATTATATTTAGAAAAAATACCACTTTTACCAATGCCGGTCGTCGGCCTTTAAGGTGTCTGCCGCACCTTAAACCTGGTCCGTGGCTCCAGTCAAAATCTCAGGCTGTGGTGACGTAATCAATACGACAAAATACTAATTGTGAGATGTGAAGTTCCCAGGAGTTCAGTACTTGGTTTTTAACGTCCTCGTTGTGTCTATAAGACCTCGGGATCTCCTTCTGATTTCTAAAGAAATGTGTGGAAAATCACAATTTGGTCCAAAGCATTTCTGATTTTAGAAATGAAGGAAGAAGCTCCATCCATCAGACCGGAGTCAGTGCTGTAGACTTTTACCAACCCAATGGACTTAGAGAACTGACTGTGGTACTTGGCATTGGCTCCTGGTCCCTTAAGTAAGAAGATCATTTCTGGAATTGTCCCTAGTCCCTAGTTCCTGGTACCACTTCCCTCAATGGAAAACTGCCAGTGCAGAAATTTTTGTCCATTTCCTACAAACAGTCCAGGATAATAGATTTTAAACTGAAGTTGAACAACCAGTCCGAACCGTTGAAATTTGGAACAGGAGTAAACCCTAAGCAGATACTACTATTATTACTACTACTGAACTACTTCTATTTCTACTACTGCTACCACTACTTCTTGTACTACTACTACTACTACACAATGGTAGACATTTTCCGGCCCCTGTAGACTGTATTTACTTTGGGACTTATCCAGGGGACTGCAGGGTGAGTTGGCATAAGGCTCCAGTGGTTGGATGTGGGTTGAGGAGGGTCGGGGTCTGAGCAGTAGCAGCAGCAGCAGCAGCAGCAGTAGAAGCAGCAGCAGCAACAGCCTTTCAGACTTTCAGAGTTTTTTACTCGTACTGTAGGCCACAGTTCTTCAAGTGTTTTACAGTGAATGTTTACTTAGCTCTCAACAAAACGTGAACATTTTAATGTAGCTTTAACCAACTATGGTGTGTACATTACAACCTTTTGGTCCCCGCTGTGGGCTATGGCACTTGTCATGATGTTTCACCTCCATATACTGTGTCTGCTGCTGGGCTGGACTCATGGAAATCAACCTTTGGGTTTTTTTTTAAAAAGAGGAACACCACTTGCTCACTTTAAGCTTTATGTGGGCTAACATTAAACTTATCAAATAGTGCCCTCTATCTGTCTATCTGTCCGTCTGTCGGTCGGTCGGTCTGTCTGTCTGTCTGTCTGTCTATCTATCTGTCTGTCGGTCGGTCGGTCTGTCTGTCTGTCTGTCTGTCTTTCCGTCCGTCTGTCCGTTCGTCCGTCCATCCATCCATCCATCCATCCATTCTTCTATCTATCTAGTGCAACTCGCCAACTTCAACAGTCGTAGTAATTGTTAAGTAACTAGTTTGGGCCAAATCAGGACACCAACTTTAACTTGACAAACAATGGTTTGTGGCCTTTAAAAAACATTAATAGTATGAGAAGATTTCAGTGTTCAAGTTGGTGGAGGGGCTTCCAATGGAATATGGCCACTGCTGTAATGCATGAATGATAACAAGCCTCCAGTCACTAGGTGGCAGCAACTCATACAGTGGTTTGTAAAGATAAAAAAAAGTATACATGTTATTAAGTTCTCAACAGTATTTCAATTTGCGGGCGGGATGAAAACGTTTCTGTGCCCAATGGGGGCCATGACAGAAAATAAATGAGAACCACTGCATTAAACCAACTGTCAAAAGAATAATCATTAAATGAAATACATAAAAAATAGTTCGTTTTTGTTCAAATGTTTTGTAAAAAAAAGTCATGACTTTTTTGCTTCTGTTTCTTTTTGAACTTCCAACATTTTTCAACATTCACTGCAAATGCAACGCTTTTAGGGTTTAAGAAAGCGTTCTCTGTAGAAGTGTGAGTAAGAACACGAACAAGGGTCTGTGCTCGGTGGACATCCCAATGTCTTACTGTTGGAGTCAACGTCAAAGGAAAAGACAGTTTCGTTTTTTTTTTTTCATGTTGAAGGTACATTCTTCCATCCTCTATTTACATTTCTGAGTGATATTTCATGTTGACCTATAAAAAGCCACCACCTTTTTCCTGTTAGATTAGATCTCAGTGATTGGCTAAGGGATTACATCTAATCTCCGTTCAGTGTTCCGCTTCTCAACTCCTGTCTTGGATTTGTCTTCTTCTCTGACGGAAGTGCGTCAAAGCCTCGTATTTATTGAAAGCAGACGTCCGTACTAGAAATGGTTTGACATCCGTGCCGATTCGATCAGACGGATTTGACTCGCCTACGAGGTCGTTAATCTGCCGATGTTTGACTGCATTTTACGGCGTGAAATGATTTCAAGGCAACAACAAATGAGCCTCAGAGAGACGTCAGAGGGCTTTTCTCATGGTCAACATCTCCCCCAGCCCCCCCTCTGTAGCTCACTGATCACTGATGTTGTGAAACTGGACCAGGTCACAGCTGAGCTTCAAAGCCCCCGACACTGAGCCCATTGACAGGAAGTCTGAGCGCATGGACCTCAATAACTAGGGCTAATAAACTGAGGTCTAGCCTCCTGGCACCGGCCAGTGGTTCCGCCTGGCCCCCCCCGCCCCATACCTGACGTGTTTGTTCCTGCTGTAGATGTTTATCTGACTCTGCTGCCCCAACATCAGTGACCTGACATCTGCTGACTGACTTCAGTCCGCAGTCACTGTCTCAGTGAAACGATAGTGATTCTCACTCAGTGGTTTACATTTTTATAAACAAAAGTTCAAATGTTTCTTATGTTTGGGGGAGCAATTAAACCTGGGCCGGGCTGAGATGTTTAAGTTAGGTTTTTATCAAACGCATATTGTTCACCATTTTTTAATTTTTTTATCCATCCATCCATCCATCCACCCATCCATTTTCATCCCCTTATCCGTTACCGGGTCACGGGGGAAGCAGTCGCCACCCACATCACATTGCACCGTACCAACCCGACCTAAACCTTCCTGCAGGTGGTGAGTCCACTGGAAGGTACCAACCGCCCTAACCGGGATCCGAACTTGCCCAGGAGGTGAACCCTGGAGTTCCACACCAATGACAGAGACATTAACTCTGGGCCAAAGCGCCACAAATTTTTTTTATTTTAAGTAGTATTACATGAACTACACATTAAGTACTACAAGAACAAAAGTACGACGATGCTCGGAATGGAATGGAACCACAGTTTAAATAGAACTTTGCACTGATGAAAATGTCATGATGGTAAATCACTGATCAAGGAAAAGTACATGGAAGACAAGCAAACTTAAAATGTGTATTAATTAAAGTAAACAGATGTTAAAACACTATAAAAATGATAGGGAGTGAAAACCATAAAAATACTGATCTTTACACCAAGAATCTTACAGTGTAAAAATCTTCTTCCTCCTTCTCTGGCAGTCATTTACCTCTGTGGACCTCTTGAGACTTTCCTCAACATCATGAAACTGTTCCAGGCCGAGATCCACGACCCAGAAAACTATGCCATCTTCTATCTGGATGTGTATGCTGAGAGTTTGACGGATCGAAAACCATGGCAGAACCAAGATTCAGACTGGACTGATCCCATCAGCGCTTTTAAGGTAAAAACAGATTTCTGACAGACATTCTAACTCTGGTCCAAAAAAGTCTTTAAAATAAAAAAAAAAACAAAAACACGTCCAGTTGCTGAAAACCGCAAAGTGCTGGACTAGCGTTGATTTGAAAGAGTTTGAGTCTTCCCAGTCTGTGGACAGAGCGTTTGTGTGTTTGTGTGTGTGTGAACACAGATGTACATGCTGCTTTTTTTTAGGCCGTTTCTCTTGATTAGCTGCGGCTGTGTGTGCATTCCGGATTTGAACTGTCGCTGTTTCAGTCTCTGTGAGTCCAAACCCAAAAAACCAAAACGAAAAGAAGTTTGTTTCTCTTCATGGAATCTCCACTTCCCATAATCTCCATCAAGCTCTGCTAACTTTGTTACACAGAAGCATAAGCATTAGATATTTCGGGGACACCGGGGACATGTCCCCATCGCTATTTATGATGAACAATTTGTGTCCTAAATTTAAATTTATCATGACTACCATTAGGGCCAGTTGCAACAATCCTATTACCCCAAAGGCAAGTGGGCTAAAGCTTTGTGAACGATCGTCAAAATAGTCAGCCCTCTGATTTGAGTCGAAAACGCACACTCACACACACACACACACACACACATCTGCTATGGCTGTTTTGTGAACTATCACCCTCGCCAGTGTCTTGATTTATTGACTGCGTGAGGTGCCGATTTGCCGCTTTTTGTGGAAAACGGGAAAAGTACTTAACCACAAATGTGCGCAAGTTCAGCAATTTCAACCGTGCCATAGCAGGCGCGAAGTATTTGCACTCACACTAGCCCCTAGCTTGCTATGCTTTAATAGGCAATACACGCCTAGGCACGCTACCATGGCCTTAGTGGGAGTGCACCCTGATACCCTTGCACAGGACCAAGTCACCAAAACCCTGGTTAAGTTAAACAGGAATCAAAAAGGTTATGTCCTTTGAACTCAACTTGAAACCAAGTTGAAAACCAAGAAAAAAGGGCTAGTGTTCAGTGTTAGCGTAGTTATTGCTAAATGGAAAGTGTTGAATTTGGTGGAATTTTAACCTTTATTGACACAGCATGCACCCATAGATATCACAAGCTTGTTGTTGCTGCTGTTTTAAAAAAAAAGATCTTGGATAATGGTAAAGGTTTCCTTTTTTGTGTTTCTCAAAGGTTTCGTGTTTCAGGTCTGCTCACTTAAATAACATGATTTCAATTAAAATATATAGAGGGGCAATGATGCTCACTTTTCTCATGAGGATACAGTCCTAAATTTCCTACCTACCTACCTACCTACCTACCTACCTACCTACCTACCTACCTACCTACCTACCTACCTACCTACCTACCTACCTACCTACCTACCTACCTACCTACCTACCTACCTACCTACCTACCTACCTACCTACCTACCTACCTACCTACCTACCTACCTACCTACCTACCTACCTACCTACCTACCTACCTAGCTATCTAGCTAGCTAGCTATCGATCTATCTATCTATATACCTACCTACCTACCTACCTACCTAGCTATCTAGCTAGCTAGCTATCGATCTATCTATATACCTACCTACCTACCTACCTACCTAGCTATCTATCTATCTATCTGTCTATCTATCTATCTATCTATCTGTCTATCTATCTATCTATCTATCTATCTGTCTGTCCTTCTGTCTGTCCGTCCGTCTGTCCGTCCGTCCATCCATCCGTCCATCCATCCATCCATTCTTCTATCTATCTAGTGCAACTCACCAACTTCAACAGTCCTAGTAATTGTTAAGTAACTAGTTTGGGCCAAACCAGGACACCAACTTTAAAGAAACTTGACAAACAATGGTTTGTGGCCTTTAAAAAACATTAATAGTATGAGAAGATTTCAGTGTTCAAGTCGGTGAAAACCTGTTCACATTTTAGGATCAAACCTTTAACCCTTCGCAATGAAGAGCTGGTGTTTGCGACTGTGTTTCTACGTCACATGCACGGCATCGTCGCCTCTTCCACCACTTTGAGGACTTACATTTCAATGAATTAAAGGACGGTCTTGAGAGGAAGCCTGGGCAATTAGTAAGCTGCGTGAGATACGGCAGCGTGGGCTGACGTTCTTCTCCCCTCCATCCGTTTTCTTTCTTTTTTCTTCGTTACTTTTAACTGCCTTCTTTGAATTCAGTAATTGCGACGTTCTAAACAAGCACGGCTTTTTGAATATAAATGCTGCATAATATTTAAGTGAGGGCTGAGCCTGGGAGATGCTAATGTCTTTTTTCGCTTGAAGTGATTTGTATTCTGCTGAAAGTATGTCTCTCAATAGCTGGAGATTAATGATTGCTATTAGATTCCGCTGGTAGATTTTAAAGTATGTTGTGTTTTTTTTTTTAAGTGTGGTTTTGGGAGGACTGACACGCAATCTATCAAGACTGGCCGCTACGCTCTCAGCGACACAAATGTTTGCCGCTTAGATGACACTACTGTTAAAGACCTGCTTCATCAGCATTTAAAAAATGCATTTCTTGCTTTTTGTACCTTTTGTGATTTGCAAAATCTCCAGCTTCAAAGAGAAAATCAAACTTTTTTTTTTTTTTTACACCTCAGAGGAAACAGAGGTGTCTCATCTGCTGCCAAAAAATCCGCTGACATTTGTGTCACCTGGATATAAAAAAGGGCAACAATTTCAAGGAACCTTAGTTTTCTAACACCTCCCTTTATGAACAATTCTGTTCACAAACAACATTTTTAACCCCAAAAAAATTGCCCCAGTTGTCGTACAATAACCCTTTTTGTCGAATAAGAGACTATATTATATATATATAATATATATACTATATATATATAATATATATAGTATATATATACTATATAGTATATATATATATATATATATACTATATA